TTTTTTTACGTCTGATATTTTCTCACTATAGGATCTAGATAGTCAATATTCGGAAAACTCGCTATAGAAGTGTCGGATCGCTTTGAAACGAAAAAAAAAATATCACCACTCGACTCAGCATGACCGATTACCCCTCCCTAGATATATTTTAGAGCGATCAGAGGAAAGGTGGCCAAAAACGGAGGTTTCGGGAAAACCCTTATATCTCCTGAACGGAACAACGTGGAAAGATCAGCCTTACGTAGATCGACAGAGAACAATTTTTGCTATCGAATGGTGTTATTACTAGTCAAAACCACATCAGAACTTGACCTTTAAAATCCTGTCTTAATAATGTCCACCCAGGAATTCATGTGATTGGTCAATTTATTGACCAATGAAAATCACATGTTTCGATGCCCCTCTCTGTCCTCTGTCGAACGGTGAAAACTCCAGGTCTCTATCTTGTTCCTATCGAAATCTATTGCAAAAATACCCACGTCCATCTTTTTATTGGACAGGCAGGAGTTACTAGTTTCGAGGTATGTTGACCATATCTATGAATTTTATTGAGAATTCCTAATAGAAACGACGGAGAAAAAATATACGTATGAATTGACACTGTCCATTCATTTATATGTTAACCAATTGATTAATCAACATGTTACTGTATACGAAGTTAAAAATGAAAAATCAAATTCAATTTTAATTATTATTTTGCGAACATGTAAGCAAAAAAATTGGACGACTAATCTTTGGATAATAATCAAGTTACAGTGGTACTTTCATCAGTTTCTCATCGTTTTTATTTGGGCTATTTAAAATTATTTCTACAACTCAAAGTCACAACGATACTCTTGATATATGTTTCCCATGATTTTCATGATATAACTTTCAGGAAAGTAATCTGCTTGTTACCAAATAATTTCTCCCTGATTAGTGAATACAAGAAATATTAGATGCCTCGCTATGATAAGACCTCTTGTGATCTCAGTGTATGCCTCGCTCATATTCAATCAATGTTGGCGATTGTTTCGCTCGAAACACGTGTATCGTTGTAAAATTAACTGTGTTGATTAAAAATATTAAACTTTGTCTCAGAATTCGATAAAGTAGTCAGATTGTCAGTACCCTACAGTTATTGTCATTAAGTGGGCATTTTTTAAGTACCTTCTACTAAAAATCTACTATTGTTTCGTAAATAAGCATGTGAGAAGATAGAAGAGTTTTGATGTATATTTACTTATAAAATATGTTGCTACGCAATCCAGAAAATCGAAAATGTTCAACTTAGTCAACTATCTTTAAAAATCATTTTAATCTAAACAAAAGTTTTTTCACAAGTAAAATTTTATAAACTCGTACATTGACCTGCTATTCCGTGAGTATTAGAACATTAAATTCAAAGTTCGAGATATACAAACTATATGATGACTAACGCTTTTCTTCGATCATTCGTGCCTTCGTATGTTATAATCTGGTTGTCAATTCAGAATTACACATAGTAGATATTTTTCACTTCAATTAGAAACTCAATGGAGTTCCATTGAATAGTTAGGTGAGTTTCAAAGAGTCAGCAATATGAGTATCCGTATATCTGTTACAAAAACTGTTTTCCATAGCTATTAGCACATTTCATAGTTACACTTGAAATAATAGTTCCTCTTTCGTGATTTTACGATAAAAGAAAATGGATGTCATCGCCGGCATATATTCACAATGTTCTGAGGCTTGTTATGTACAAGTCAAAAGTTTTGGAAGGCTGAGAGTCTAACAAAACCTATTTTACTTCGGGTATCGATCTCAGTGACAGTGTCGGACGATAGAAATCAATTCATAATAATATGTAAGCGCATTGTAAACCGGAAAAAAATCGATTTTTTTTGGTTCCAGTGAGCTATAAAATTTCTAAAGCATATTTGTGAAGACACATCAAGGATAATTTTTTTTGCTGTAAGGTTCTTACAAGGATCTTGCTCTCAGCCATAGGCTTGTGGTGATCTTTTTACGATATTGATTCCCGAGAACCACCAACAGTACGCTTTTAGCAACGCCTATTGGGTCAGAAACGGGTACCACACGCTACTAATCGTTCAGCAAGTAATGATTGATTACTCATTCCTTAAATATTTTGTTTTTAGCCTTGAAATATACTCAAGAAAAAGTTATGGTTATCATACAAAAACATGAAAATCAAATTGATGACCATCAGACACAAGATGACTTGCCTACTGAATTGTTTGTTTCGATCCTTCGACGAATTCGATTCCGTATCCATGAGACGATGCGTGGAGTAATGATTTTCAGCGCCACTGAAAGACCACCGAACATGCCGACAAGTGTTATGACTATCTGCAATGGATTGTTGCGCGACGTCAATATATATGTACACTGTTTAGGTGCACATTTCTTGTAGTATATGTCATATTGGCTATTTTCATTCCATGTTTCAACCATGAGATGATCAACTATCGTTTCGATAGGGGTTTGAGGTGAGAATTGAGTAGTATTCGTCTGAAGAATAGATATATTGATCGATTTACTCGATTTTATCCCGACTTGTACAAGATCCAAACATGTTTGATTGAAAAAGCATTCGAGTGTAGATTGATAAATGGATGAAATAACGAAGCAACCCACGAACATATTTTGAAGAGTAAAATCCACATAGTATGGATTATAGATAGTGTTATCTGTGTAATTAAAAAAAGCTATCTCATCTCGACATTCATCGTCGATTCCGCAAGAACATGTAGTTGATTCTGATGGCATCCAGCCAAAATCAATTGGTGTAGTAGTATTTGAAGATTGATTGGTGTTCAGTAAAATGTCTTCATATCCTGTAGCATACATAGTTCTTGTATGTGCTTCAATAAGTGAGAGAATATGTTTGAATTCGGCTATTGTACTCTTTTTAAATTGTTCGAGTATAATTTCTATACGAGTTTTGAATTCTAATTCGGGCAATACTAAATTGGTAACGAAGGAATTTTGACTAAAATCGTACCAACTATTGTTCACAGTCGTTTGTGAGAGGGAACATAGTGTGGCCAGAGTGTCAAAAAATGTTTGACCAGATACACGAAAGTCCACCAAATCAAATACTGAGTCTTCCGTATTCAGACTCGACGTAGAAACAATCCAAGCGTTGGATATGAACAAGCTCGAACATAATGGGTAAAATTCAGGAGATAATAAAGCGAATGACTTATATTCAATGGCCATATCACTACATGGACATTGAATTGTGCTGTGATATTTGTTGTACAAATGTTCAAAGGTCATTTGAGATGGGTTTTGAATAGTAACAGTTTGAGTTTGATAAGACAACATTGTATATATAGCAATAATGACCACGGACAGAAATGTGAGAAAAAGATAGACGCGAGTAGATATTTTTGCCGTTTTGAATTCAAAAGGATCAGTGCGTATAGCATTTGAGTTGAACAAATTTAACTCGTTCAATTGATTTCGAATCCACTGCCACTGTACTCGGTAGCGCTCGGTTAAGCTGACAGCTAATAGAGCAAGGTATGTTTTTACACTTTATTACAGAAAAATTAAAAATAAACTTACGTGCATTGGGATTTGTTTGAAGGTTGCGCTTTCTCCACCATCGAATGACGAGGGGTACACATAAACGAAGCGCAGTTGTAAGTCCACCATAGAGACCTAACAAAATAGTCAGCACATGCAGAGCACTCTTTTTTTCTGTAAATTTATATGTGCACGAAATAGGAGCACATTGTAAGTAGTAGACTGAAAAAAGACTGTTTGAAAACCAGTTTTCAATAAAAAGATTGTTGACAAGTATTTCAATGCTTGTGTTAGGCGCGTATTGTGTTTGATTAATGTCAAGAGCATAGATACGTGTGTTGTTACTTAATGGAAAATATCTGAGAACAATATTGAGGCATGCTGAATTGAAGAAACATTCAAGTGTTGACTGATGTAGTGATTCAAGTGCATAGCATGAAACTTTAAATCCAGTTACATTTGCCAAAGATGATCGAGGCAATGCAAAGTATCCTTCACTTTCATAAGCGAAGCGACTAAAAAAGCCAGATGGCAATGAACAATTCCGTGTAGAACCACAAAAACATTCTGTGGAACGGTTTAAAGCCCATATGGTATCCAACGGATAAGCATCGATTGAACCGTTCGGAAATACGTGCAACAAATGCATTTTTGTTGTTTGTAGTGACGGCTGCAAACTATTACTGTGAGTTGTGCTACGTACGAGATCAAGAAGTCGACGAAAACCATTCGTTGTTGATGTTCGCCAAAACATATGTTGTGTTTGACTTTGTACATCGAGTGATTTTGCTGTCAGAACTTGTGGGCTTAGTAGAGTGTCTGAGAGAAGATCATCAATAGCATCTTGTATTGTTCTGTTCGCAAATGAACATAACGTGCTAAGTAATTGAAATTGACCCATAGCCGATGAACGAAAGTCCATTGGAAAGTAGTACCCTATCTGTGGACTAAACAGAAGATTGATCCATGTTTTGGAAACAAAAACACTTGAGCATACGGGATGCAACTTGTAAGATGCTTCAATGAAGGTTCCGTAGGGAATATCAATTCGGTTACATGGACATTGAAGTGTATTTGAATATTGCGAATGCAGTTCCTCGAAAACTGCTTGAGGCGGATGTCGAATGACGACAGTTTGAATTTGACTACTCAATGCAGTGAACATAGCAAGTGTCATGACGGCGATTGTGAGTAAGAAAATGTAGAATCGAGTCGAGATGATTGCAGTACGCAAATGGAAAGGATTCAAAACAGTAGCACGATTTTCAAAAAGATTCAATTCACCAATTTTTCTCAAAATCCAACGAGCGGCAGTAACGGCTTTCATCACTGTTTTTTCTATCAAAATAAAGAATATTTCTGCCGAGAATTGCTATTTTATACTTTGATTCTATAACGTGCAGTTATTACAAGAAAAACTCATCTTCAAATGCAAAAAATATTTTTAAAATGAAAAAGATATGAAGCGTTCACAGCTAATAACATTGTAGAGCCTCTATCTGCATATTACAATTATACATAGAACACTCAAATTAACTACCATACATCTATATATGATGCATTCGTTTACTTTAAATCAACTATTCTACTGTGAACTGCTATTCTTCAAGAGGAAAACCCCTTGATAAGCAAGCAGAATGCTTGATTCTTTTTTTCTAATTTATTTAAAAAACCACTACTCAAAAAGTATTGTAATAACTATGTCATTTCTTTTTATTCAAAATTTTCAGAGAAGAAATAATGTAAAATTGTTCTCTTTTCACCATTGGATAGCCAATGAGTGTAGGTGTGTTAAGCTATCATGATATCGATATTTTACCTAAGCAAAAACTGTACGATTTTTCTCCTTGGGTAGGAATCAACCAAAAGCATGTCTTGAAAGAAGACGGTCCTATCAAACACAATCTTTTTTTCTGCTAATTTGGAATATAATGTGCATTTGATTTCGTATTGAACCTCTGATCCTCAAAATCATTCTGTACAGACAATTTAAAATGTTTTATCATGATGTTAACAGCCTGCATTCGCAACAGTGAATTATTGGGTTCATGCAAAAGTCTTGGTCGATTTTTCTTTCTCTTCCATTCTCTAAAATTTTATTAGAACAAAATACTATCAATCAACAACATATGCAACATTGTTATCTACAACATACTCCCATCTCTTAGGCAAATTTAGGGTGTGGGTGTGGGTCTGGTGAGTGTCGATTTAGTGAGTGTGGGTGTGGGTTTCCGTTTGGGGGTGGAATTGGGTTTGGGTGTGAGATCTGCGTGTAAGTGTGAGTATTCTTCTATCACTCATACGTACACTCACACCCACACCCACACCGACACCGACACCCACACCCACACCCACACCCTAAATTTGCCTAAGAGATGGGAGTATGTTGTAGATAACAATGTTGCATATGTTGCTGATTGATAGTATTTTGTTCTAATAAAATTTTAGAGAATGGACGAGAAAGAAAAATCGACCAAGACTTTTGCACGAGCCCAATAATTCACTGTTGCGAATGCAGGCTGTTAACATCA